GTTTTGAGGTTCAGGGTTTGGGGGCTTAGGATGTAGGATTTGATTTCTGGTTTGGAATTCTGGAGGCTTCGGGCCCAGGGTGCAGGATGTAAATGGTACTTTGCTCCCCGAACTCCAATAAGCGTCAAGCCGCGCTGTACAAACCGATCTGCGCAGCTTCGACGTGAAGACGACGTCAGGCTTCACGCCTTTCTCCTGAATCAAAATTAGGGCCAGAAACAAAAAATGTTTGATATCCATTGGCAGTAGGTCCAAGCTTTCAAACCAGCCCCCGAATTGGCTCGGCTTCCCCCACCTTGGAATTTTCAAGGTTAGAGCTTAGGATTGATGCATGGACAAAAGGGATCGTCCCCTCTCTTCTGACCTTCTAAGAAGGATCGAGTTCAGGACACTGGGATGTTCATCCGTTGCTTGCTACGTCTGGGATTGTAAGTGTCACGTGTTGCTGGCATGTATAGCCGTACATTGAACTACCCATGAGCCTCTACGTCAGTATGTAAGACGACCGCTTTTGAACCGTACTCACACGATCTCAAACAGAACTTCATGCCTTCCAAGAGAGTGTCCATGTGCGCCAGTGTTCAAGAAAATGTATATCTCTCTGATGCAGCCCGTACTATCCCCAACTTTCTGGAAACTCCCGTGCACAAGGTCTTTTGCAGCCAGCTGTGTATTCTCGACATGAATATGTGAATATGTATACATGTATGTGTGTGCATCAATACTTGGAAGCACATGAAGCACATTCGTCCACAAACCCTGAACACAAAGCCCTATTTTACTGTATAGGCCTTCAGGCATTTACCGGCTTCCACCGCAACTTTCTTGCCGGCTTCTGTAAGATCCACGTCCATCCAACCTCCAGTGCACACGAGTTACGGTTAAGGGTTTGAAGCTTGCGGTTTAGAAATTAGGGCTCGGGCTTAGTTTTAGACTTAGAGTTTAGGATTAAGGCGTACCGTGTAGCAGTGTTGCATACAAGGTGCAGTGATATCACGGAAACCCGAAGAAGTCCAGAGCCCTTTCCAGCCTTCAATTGCGGTTGTTGGGTTCAGGGGTTTGGGGTCTGGGTTTTAAGGTTCAGGGGTTTAGGGTTTGGGGATCAGTTACCAAATGGGAACCCCCATAAAAGGCGCATATGAGGCTCGTATCAGTTAGACCCCCTTAAACCCTGAATCTTTGAATCCTAAACCTGACATCTAATCTCGTAAGCCCCAAGCCTTGCACTGAAAACTCTTGAACCCTAAGCCCTTTAAACCCCCAAACCTTAAACCTTAAACTCTAAAATCCTAAAACCCTTGAACCCTAAACCCTTCAACCATGAAACCCTTACACCCTAAGCCCTTCCACCCTAAACCCTTCAACTCTAAGCTCTTAAGCCCTCACCTGAGTAGTGCTTTTTTGGTGGTTGAACCTAGTAAGATAATATTCCGTATATAACATACTATACCCCAAAAAGGAGCATATAATCTGACTCTATATTGGGTACCATAGTATCCCCAAATAAAATACGGCTCACCTGCGTTGAACGAACCTCACCATTTCGAAAGCCTGGATGATCCTCCCGGCCTACTTGGGTTTAGGAGTTTAAAGTTTAGGGTTTAGGGTTTAGGGTCTCCTCAGGTATGAGGGTTTAAGGTTTAGGGTTCAAGCTTCCAGGTTTAGCGCTTAAGGTTCAGGGCTTCGGGTTTACGATTTAAGGTTCTAAAGGGTTTACGGTAGTAAGTCCGCTTACTGGCAAGTAGGCTTCAGGCTATCCTCCTTCGATTCTTTCAGGGGCCATGGCTTCTGATGCCTATACTGTACTCTGCAGTAGATCCTAAAGCCCCCGTCCCTGAGCTCTGCGTAAGCCCTGCAAGCCCTGAACCCAAAACCTCAAATCCTGAACCCTAAACCCTACTCGGAGGTGAACCCCAAACCTTAAACCGTTCAAGACCTCAAACCCTAAACCTTAAATCCTAAACCCTAAACCCTAATACCTAAACCCCAAGCCCTAAACCCTAAAACCTATTCAGAAATGAACCCCAAACCTTAAGCCGTTGCATCGCTAAAAGGCCTGCGAAGTTCTTCTCTGCCTTGGCAAACTTCAGGGCAGGTCCGCAACTTTACTACTGATACAAGGTTTAGGATTTAGGGTTTAGAATTTAGGTTTAGGATTTAGGGTTCAAGGTTTAGGATTTAGGATTTAGAATTTAGGGTCTTTGATTTAGGGTTTAAGGACTTGGACTAATAACTAAAGTACTGTTCCCAAAACTGTGGAAATCGATACCGGGACCTGAAATATGATAGGAACAGCCGCCTCTGGAGGAGCCAGCATCAAGCAGCTGGTGATGTAACATGTGGCTTCATGGTGTGATGCCTTCAGCCCTGCAAATCCCAGACCAAGACTGCCCACCTACTTGAACCTTTCGCAATGGCTTGTTCTTGAGTATTTCTGGACCGCACGTCCTCAGCACCTATTTGGCTCAAGGGTCCGATAAGTTCTGCCGCGCCTAGGTCAAGAAATCACAAACACGCTTTTGTCAATTCTTGCAGGCAGCAGGTTCGCTGAGAGCGAATGCTCCTAAGAAAGCGCAACTCTGCCTTGCATGAATTGCCCAGCTGTAATTCACAGCTGGGAAGCACTACCCAATTGAATTGGCAGACAAGCGGGCATCTTTCCGAGGGCCCTTGTCCAAACACAGCTGGGGGCTTTGCAAGGCCCAACAGTCCCTCATGTGAATGAACTTGTCTGGTCCCTTCTTATCCTTGTAGGGTTTCATTGCACATGTATGGATTAAAGATTCAGGGGGAGACTTGCAAGGCACCCGCCCGACAAAAAAAAACTGCTTCGCTGTCCCTCAGATCATGGAGCTGGGAAGACATGGCCATGTCTAGACCTGGTGTGGTTTTAAGGTTCCGGCTGTCGGATTTGGTGTAAGATGGTCCCAATCATAGCTCCTTCAAAAGCAACAAACATTGCTTACATGTCACCTTCACCAAAATGGAGCGATCTGTGTTCTTTAGGCTTATGCAGGTAATGGAGATGTTCATCCCTTCACCCCATCTTGAAAGCCTCTTCAAACTTCTCGAGACGTCCTAGATACTCTGGGCATGCCCACTAGCAGAAAGACATTCTAAGTTGTTGGTAGGACTGGATTGCTAAACGCTAAACCCCTACACCCTACACAACAACTTTCATTCCGGGGTCTCAGGAACAATCCCATAATTAGGATTACCATTTGGGGAACTCCCTATAATGAGGACTATTGTATTTTGGGGTCCATATTAGGGTCACCCTATTTTGGGAAACTACCAAGTGTTTTGAAAGTATGGTTTGGGATTTATGGCTTTAGGTAAGTTTTATGGGTACAGGGCTAAGACATGCTGCTGGCCAATTGAAACCCTAGCTTGCTTGCTAAGTTTGAACACGTTTACCCACTCCCCGGCCAGCCTGAGTGAGAGGCGCAGATCTCTAGCCAACTGTTGCTCTCACTCGGAATGGCATCGAGTTCACGTTAAGGCTCACCTCGGTCTTGAGGTCTAGCTTAGTGAGGCCCCCATCCAGCAAGAATAGTAGGAATACATAGGGACCCTAGTATAATTTTCACCCTTGTGCTAACTATTAGTGAGTGGGGCCCCTGCCTTAGTTAGGTCCAGCCATGAAACCCAGAGTTTAGGATTTAGGGTTCGGAAGAGTATCTTCTTACTTTTCGCACATAAGGACCTTGAGGGCATTCCCCTCCCCGAAACTAACATGGATCCAAACAAGGTAATGAAGACTACTGTCCTCTGTAGAGGTGCTCCCTGGGGTTCCATGTTAGTTTGGCGGAGTGCATTAAATCTGCTTCTGCAGAATCCACAATCTCCCTTACCTAAAACTGCTCATCGCAGTCACGCTGGCTTTTGGTTGACACTAAGAGTCATGCATGACCCCAAGTATGTTTGACCTTGGGAATGAGTTTGGGTTTGTTAGTATGCCAAACTATTTCAGGATTTTGAATATCAACAGCATGATCCACTTCCTCTAGCAAGGAACTATTGAAGTTCAATGCCAAAATCTGATCCGGGAACATCTGGAAGGGAGATGGATTACCAGGGATTAAAGCTTGTCTTGTCGTCTCGTTGTTCTTCAAAAAATCAGAAGTGCCTGCTTGGGTCAGACATTCTGCAGTCTACGCTCTCCAAACTATTCAACTTTAATCAAGGGATTTTGGTAACCCCAACCCCCAAATCTGGACCTTATAACAGTCATATGATGGTTATAGGGTCCTAATTTTGGGGGGTTGGGGTTACCGAAACACCTTTTTTAAACTTAAAACGGTCCCTGCACGGGCCACTGGCCTTAAACAAACCGGTATACCCGTCATCTGGAAGTTGTCAAGATTACGGTCCTGTGCTGGATTCCCATGATACGACAGCCCCTAGTCTTTAGGGTACCAAATACTGGGTTGCTGAAATCCTCAATCCGAAACCCTGAACCCTAAACCCTAAATCCTAAACCCTTTGGCAGTCTGGGAATGGCATCCGAGAGTCCAAGAAACAGCCCCAACCTATATGAGCCGTACTCTAAACTCCTTAAGGGGATTGGGATATTGGAAAAGAAAATGGAAACTGCCAGTTTGGGTTTAGGATTTAGGGTTTAGGGCTTAGGATAATAGAGTTGCGCTATAGCCTAAACTGCTTAATGGGGGTCCATATAGGGGATTATGTAGCGGAGTATTATAGGGGTTATGCAGGGGAATACTAGGAGTTAAGACTATGGCTCATATGTTTAGAGTTTAGAGAGAACAAGTGCTACAGTCAGGGTTATCAATAGGGATTAAGGATGGTTATGGGGATGTACTCTCCCACTCACAACCCTAAATCATGAACCCTGAGACCTTTAGAAATGTTCAGTAGTTTCAAGGTTCTTTTCCACTCCCCAACCCCCTCCTCAACAATAAACACTAAATCCTAAACCCTAAACCCTAAATCCTAAACCCTAATCCCCGTAAGGCAACCTCTGCCGCCTAAGCAGCATCACCAAACGGCCTGCGCATTCGCGTGGGAGCCTCCTTCTCTGCGGCAGATTTACTCTGCAACTATCATGGGACCTGAAAAGTCCCCTTGTAAACCTATGTCTTTTTGAACAAGAACGTAAAGGTCTCCGTGTTCGCTATTTTCGAAGTTTTGTTTGGAAAGGGTCGGGTTTGGGGGTGTCGGGAATGTGGGTTGCGGTTTAGGGTTCAGGGACCCTAAACCATAAACCATAATCCATAAACCCTAAACCCTATACCCTAAGAGTTTCAGGGCTCTGGTGCTCAGGGCTCAGCTCATGAAAACTGATGTTGCGGGAGTCCCGCGTAGTGTATGATGGTGATAGGAAGATACCCTAAACCCTAAACCTTCATAAACGAAACCAGACAGCAGGCCTCAACCTGCCCCAAACCTGCTCAGCTCACGCCCTTTAGGCTTCAGTTCATTTAGGGCTGATGATTTTTTAGGCCCCTCGAACCCAAACCCAAGATATCCAAATGTGGTCCCTTTAAAGGGGCCCTATAGCATAGTATTGACCCGTCAACATCCACAACCCTGAGCCACACACCAAATGGTCTGAAGTTTGGAGCTTGGAGCTTCCAACATGCCAAAAGGACACTTGGCACTTTGCAGCCCCAACCAAATCAAAAAACGGCTGGAGGGGTCAACTGAAAAATCAAAGGAATATGACATGGAAACCGGACTCATGTAGGGAATCTGCATCACAGGACTTTGAGCCCTGAAGCAACAAATCGTCTTGAACCTTCTGGCCCCAAAGCTGCCTTGCAAAAACCAAAGGAACAACCTCAGGCCCTGAGCCAATGACCCTGCACCCTCGAATCATACATGAGCAGTGTTTTTGGTGGTTGAACCTAGTAAGATAATATTCCTTATATAAGATACTATACCCAAAAGGAGAGTACCATAGTATCCCCAAATAAAATACTACTCACATGTGAAACCAACTCCCAAAAAGACTTACCGGTGCTGAAGGGGGAGTGCGGGAATCAATCCAGGCATTATTCTCAAGGGCTACATTGGCATTATTATAGGTATAAGGAGTCCACTCCCCCCCCTCTCTCAACGCTGTTTAGGGTTTGGTGCTTAGGACTTAGGGTGTAGGGTTTACGGCTCAGGGTATAGGGCTTAGTGCTTAGGGTTTCGGGTTTAGGGCGTAGGGTTTGGGGCCTGAAGAACGACACCTACTGGGACTTTGAAAACCCGTACATGACGCATACGGGCTTGCTTTTAAAGCACATGTGGTGATCAGCCGTGCAGGGTTTGGGGCAAATCGGAACAGATGTTGCTTTCAAGTTTATTTCCCCCTGCATTGTCAACAAACTATGCGATGCATGGACACTCTGGGGACACATGTTATGGTAGTTTCCCAAAACAGGGGGACCCCAATATAGACCCCAATATATTATAGTCCTTATTGGTGTTCTAGCTGCAGGTCGCACTACAAGCCCTCCAAAGCCAAGTAAGACATAAGTCGCACCAACACATGGAGTTCTGCGCGGGTTGCATAGTAGGGCTCCTGCACAACGCCCCCACACCCTAGAAGCTAGAGAAAACTGTCTTGTTGTTTTCATCTTCTTTTCAATTTTCACTATGTCCCCCATAAGATTGAGAACTCTAAACCCTAAAGCCTCAATCCTAAACCCTAGACCCTAAACCCTCTGGACCGTAGACCCTCAACCAACTCGTCCTTCTCCGGCGGCGGAGCAGGGGCATCCTCAACAATCTCCTCTTTTGCTGGTTGCTGTTCAAGGATTGAGGTGGGGGTTTCCCAAGAGTAGGGGTACCTTGAAAGGCGGCACATAGGGGTTTCCCAAAACTAGGGGTACTTTTTTGAGGGTCCCTATAATAAGGACTATAGTACTTTTGGATTTCTTCCCTCTACGATACCCGTACATGCCCGTCCCTATTAAGGATTTTATATTTTAGAAAAAATCTGAGAGACTTCCAAGTATGTACTATAATACATAACCCTAAATCCCAAACCGTAAACCAAAAGCCCTGAATCTTAAGCTCTAAACCCTAAACCACAGGTCGTGTAGGAATCTTGGTGTCAACAGTGTGTCAAGGCCTGACTTGGGGGCTTCCCAGAAATGTGACTGGATTGAATTGTAGGATTTGGGGCTTAGGGTTTAGGGTTTAAGGGTTCAAGGGTTCAGGATTTAGGCTTTAAGGTTTTCGGAATTGGGGTTTTTAAGGTTCAGGGCTTAGAGTGTTGAGGAATTCTAGTTATGAGTTTTCGGAGTTAAAGTTTTAAGGTTTGGGGGTTTAGGGCTTTAGTAAGATCTGGGTGTTTTGCTTGAGGCTGATGTGGTTAAGGATTTAGGGTCAAGCTTAAAGGGTGCTCAAACTGGAGTTCCTAAACCCTAAACCGCGGGACACGCTGCAGGTTGCTACAGGAACTATTTTGGAGAGAGCGCATGTTACTCACAGAAGTCTGTGAGGTCTCAAAGACGGTTTAGGGTTTAAGGCTTAGGGTTTACGGTTAGGCTCCTCTAAAATGATGGTTTCCAATGTGATGCCACACTTGCTGAGGTTGTTTATGCGACAACCTTCAAAGGACAACAGCTGGTAGTTGCCCGAAATAGGGGACCCCAATGTAGACCCGAAAGAACTAGAAACCTTTTTGTAGGGACACACCAAAACAAGTACAGCAAATTTTGGGAAGCCCCCATCTCCCCTGCAATCCAAATGCCGAGTATTGAGGACTAGCATATAAGCCTAAACCCTATACAAAGCAAGCACATGCTGCCTGCCTAATGGCTAAAGCTGCAGGTGCTCTCACTCATTACAAAGAGTTATGGCTTTAAGCCAAGTGCCCGAGATTTGTTGTGAGAAGACTCTGCCAAACTTGATAAAACTTGAAAAGAGAACCGAATAGGGACTACCGGCCTGTTAAAAGGCTTCTATATGGGACTCCATGTCAGTTCTGGGGCGGGTACTCCCTTTTGAAAGGCAGAGCCTCATGCAAAAGGCGCGAGAATGACATGCTTGCAATAGGTTTCATACCCATCGTTTGCCGCGCTTCGCGGCTAGAAAGTGTAGATTTCATTGGCCAGCGCAAGGGATTTGCATGCCAGGTGACGGAAGACAATCACCAAAAAAAGTGGGAATTTTGGATGTTTATGCAAC